AAAAAAAAAAAAAAAAAAAAAAAAAAAAAAAAAAAAAAAAAAAAAAAAAAAAAAAAAAAAAAAAAAAAAATTATTATTACTCTTAATATATACTATATGCAATAATGATTCTCCAAAATATCTCACCTCTGTTTTCCGTATTATCTTCCGTGGCCGTTTCAGATTCTTCGTTTTCACCTATCGTCGTTCCATTCAAATATGAGAAAAAGAAAGAAATATGTTTCGCCGTCAGAATACAGGTGTGCATTCCCCAACACAATCATCGAATAAAATAAAATGTTAATCTACTCACCGTGAAATTCAAAGTCACCCACGCTAAAACTTTTCCCGGATTTCTCGGCGATCTCTAAGAACAACAATGCAATGCAGAAGAATAATGAATATCTCAGTAGCACCGTCACCGTCTCCACACGCACCGACGCATACCTTGATAATGCAACCACAACTCGGCAGCCAAAGCATCTTTGCGAAGCTCCGCCAAATCTGCTCGTCGCGGCGAAAAAAGAAGGATGAGATTTTACGACGAACTGGCAAAAAAAAAAAAAAAAAAAAAAAGAGATAATAAAAAATCGATGATTCCTACCTATTTCCGAAATTCGCGACTTCTTTTGTGACCCCGTAAACCTCTCCTCTCCCACTCTACCTTCACCACCCGTAACCCAAACATCTTCCACCCCCCTACTCCCGATCGACGTCAGTCCACCTTCCGACAACCTCCTCAACTCTCTGACCACCTCCTGACTCGTTGGTCTCGCCGTTGGGCTACTCTGCCAACATTTGTTGTACAATCCATAGTACACGTTCGGCGTGTCCTTTACCGCCTGTTCACGTACACCTCTGATAATCCGATTCGTCAATTCCTCGGCCTTCTCCCGGGAGTTCATACTCTGCATGCTGCGTATGCTTTTGGCCTTTCCACCGACAGCCCTTTCGGTGAACTCTTCACCAATACCTTGCGTTCCCGATTTCTGACTATCGGCGCTCCAACTACAGTAAGAACCGAATGGTATCCGACCGCTGGATATCTCCCATAATATAATGCCTAGGCTGTATACGTCCGATCTCGCGTCTTTGTTGTAAATTGTCGGATGATATAAATATTGTGGATCGATGTAAGGTATGTAGCGAGGTTCGGTGTGCGCGTAGGCAAGCGAGGATGATACCATGTGGTTGCAAGTACCAAAGTCAGTGAGCTTTGGTTGGGATTGGTGAAATAGGACATTTCGGGAGTGCTGTTTCAATTTGATTTTGGGGATCGATCAGTATGAGTAAAATAAAATTTTCTCTGAGACGAGAAATAGGAATTCGCTTACCAAATTTCCGTGCACGATGCCATTACGATGTAAAAATTCCACGCCCTCGGCAATCCGTTTTGCCAGGTTACACTTGTCCGTCCAACTCATACGCTTGAAATTTTTCGCCAAGTACTCTTGAAGGTTACCACCGTCGGCGTATTGCATCACGATGATGTACGCGTTGCTCTCGGTTTCTATTGTACGATCGAGTCGACGAGAGGAATTGACCAGATTAGCGACCGAACATCGAAGACGGGAAGTCAACACGTGACCACTCACCTTGACTGAGACCGGAAATCCTTATGATCTTTTCGTCAGATTCCACTTGCAAGTGTAATTTTAACTGTGATTATCATGATGCAATGCAATTGTGATGAATTGGTAGAAGAAAGAATGGATTTGCTAACATCTCGCAAGTGGCGATCAAACGTACCTCGGTGACAAATGCCTCTCGCGTCTCGTCTGACAGATCGCTCACGTTCTCCAGCTCTTTCACGACCACTCGCTTTCTCATCTTCTTCCAATTCATCGTCTTTATTGTATTGTTGATTCCCCCGGACCCGTGTTCCTTGTCACCTCTTTCTTCCATCCGTTCATCCTCGAATTCCTCGTAGGGTATGAATTTTACCCGTCGCTGCTGCACCGTTTCGTCCAACCACTGTTGATTTCTAGAGGCGGTGTTCTGCGACGTGGAACTGTTATTGTTGTGATGCAAGCTGTTGTTGCCTGATGATGACGGGGAGACGCTACGACCGTTGTTTTCATACATGCCACTCATCTTTGTGCGTGTTGTTGGTCAGCCCAGGTGGGAAAAGTTTTTCAAGAATGTTTTTCTTGCGGAATTAACCAGCTGTATTTTGCATAGGAGGATAATGGGATATGATGGGATGTGTAAAAATTTTTTTCTTATATGCAAAGGAGGATCATTAGAAAAAGGAAAAAGAGAAAGAAAAAATGAGAATTTCTCGGCAACAATAATGGTCGTCCGGTGATAATAATAAAGGAAGAAAAAGGAAAAAGATAAAAATAAAATTTTTGATTGTTTATGTAACAAAGTAAAATCAAAATCAAAATAAGAAAATACCGGGTAAAAAAAAAAAGTTTGGATGTGGATAATAATAGTTAGAACGTTGAGGCAGATTTTTGCGGAATGACTTATCTACGGTAAGCCGTGAAAATGAGACAAAGGATTGCGCATGTGTATACAGAAAAGGGAATACGATGTAATGGCAATGAAATTAGGGTGGTTTGAGAGTAAACAGTTCTAGAGCGAAAATAGTAAATAAGAAGGTACGGTATGTGGCATACCACAAGAAAGGTTTGACACCAAAAAGACGAGAAAAAAAAAAAAGTGGAAGAAGTGGGAAAAGGCAATCAATCTAACCGAAGAACATTCGGGAGGACTACTCAGTAGTTTTCTCAAATGGAATTTGACCAAAAAAAAAAGTATAATAGAAGTAAGGAGATTTCTATTGATTTTATTATGTATTTCTATATAGAAGGTTTTATTTATGTATGTGTATATATGGTGTGTATATAATTTATTTATTTATGTAAATCCTTTTTTTTTTTTTTTTCCTTCTTACCAATTAACGAAGAAATTAGAAGTCGCAGAATTCTAAGGAACAAACTAAAAAGATGCCAAAGGAGAAAAAAAAAAAGAGGAAGAAGAGGTGAGTGACGGGACTCCGGAGAGAAGAGTACAAGTAGATTGAAAACCTGGGCAGTCTAACTATGTGTGTACGTGAGGTAACGTAACGTAAGGTGCGTACATACGTGCAAACTAAATAAATAATCAACCAATACAATGACAATGACATACGATGCCTAAATAAACATAATGACCTGTTTGGTGATACCTCTTAAAAAAAAAAAGAAATGATGAGAAAGATTACGATGTGTGAATGTGATACGATTGTTTATTTACTACACGTTACACAATGGAGTATGCATATGGTAACGTAACAATCCACAATGCGCATTATTAATTAAAATAAAATAAATAAAAAGTTGATGGAATTTCGATGTCAATGTTGTCATTGTCATCATCGTCGTCTTCAACCAGGAACACCCGGCTTTCCTATCTGTGTAATGAATTCTTTCCGAGTTAACATATTGGGAATTTGCTAAATTCGGGATGTCCAATTTCGAATGTGACACCGAACGCATAGGTTACACGGCGGGTATTAGGAGACGACGTTCTTGGTGTCTCATGGTACGCATTGTTCGTACGCATACATCATAAAAAAAAATTTTAAATCGTACAATCCTTTCACCCTTGATAATAATAATTTTGTCGAGCCCGCTCTCCAGATTGCATCAAGGATGATTCGATTTCTTAATCAAGAACTCCGTGTAGAGTTCCACCGCTACGGGATGATTTAACATACTGTAACATAGGTTTCACCACATAGAACCTGGTGTGCTTTACGCCGTGAAATATGGTAAGCATATCATTAAGGCAACTTGTTTTTTGTTTTTTGTTTTTTTTTTTTTTTTTACATCGAAGTGAGTGAAATACCAACGTAACAGTTATTTATTTGAGTATGACATATAACCATCACATGTACGCTCATATAAAACTGGCACGCATGTGATGGACTTTACATAGACACAGTGTGTGCGTATATACTGACAACAACATTTACACATAAGGCGTTTTTTCTTCCATCTTGTACGTACTTTGTTTCCGAAGGAATTATATCCACTTTCAAATATGTATGTTGATTTTGTGTACAACATGTAATGTGCGACAGGTTTGCAACCTGGGATGGGAAGATCGTTTATAATGGATCACACATAACGGTAAATAATGACTATTAAAAGTTGGATCAGGTTGACGTTACAATGGAAACAAGGGTATGGCAACGATAATTAATACACCGAATTATGTTTAAAACGTTCAATCAATAAATAATCACAAAACACGTGACAAATATGAACACGTACCGGCAATAATAAGAGATTTCTCATCGACATGTGCGGTACAGTATTTACCTACTTATTTATCGTACCATAAGTGTGTACGTGCGTGGAAACAAAATTTAAAAATTCGAATGATGCATTCATGTTTGGTAAACGGATAAATGTTATACTGTACTTTACGCAGTGGGCACAATTACTTAATCTTACACGGTTGTTTCCATCATCAAACCTTAAAGTAATTTATCGTTTTTATTTTTTTTTTAATTAAATCACATGCATATGCAACATACGTACGTAGTTACATATTGGTTGCGATGATTCCTCGTATTACGTGTGGACTCGTAACTCCGGTTATTCTTTAATATTTGCCGTACACCAGTGGCCCGTCTCGACGATGCACCATCGTCACGGAGGTCGTTTTACGTAGGGAATGAGTAAATAAACAATAATGACGAAAAAAAAAGTTCATCATCCTTGCTTCTGTGTTGATTGATGCTTAGGGTTCATCAGGGTCTTTCATTGTGTTGTGTTTATTTTTAGAGCTTCGAAAAGAAAAGAAAAATTAAGAATTTTCTGTCCTCCCAGCTTCATGAACTCGTGAACTCTAAATTTATCTTTGAACATCTTTAGGTTTCTGTAAATGGTAATGCCGTTATAAATTACACAATTCCATATTTACCGCATTACCCTAAAAGACATTAGATATATGCGCATGTTGTTGTGTATACATGTGAGTAAATGACCTTATTTCTGGTAATGAAAGATTTATTGTCGCCAACACATACAGTACGTATTTCCAAAATGCGAACCAACCAATCACAATATTTCTACATCCGGACTCATTGAAAACCTCCGCGTACGTGTGTATCGAGTCCTTTGTTGTGTTCATTGTTTAGAACCCAAATTTGGGTGTCGTTAAATGTATCGCCATCCATCCGTGAATCACAACGTAACATTCTGCAGTGCGCATTTACTGTACGTACGTATGTTATGCCGAAATACTAAGCCTCCAGTTCAATAAAGGAAATAAGTATAGGGCAACCTGAAGGCCACAAGAACATACGGAGTAAATGGAAATTCATTAATTCCCAAATGATCGAGTGGACTGAATTTAGACTAGAGCGCTCATCCTATTGCCGTTAATTTCCGATCTTTAAATAGTAAAAGAAAAATTATTTTCACGGCTCCCGTTTTAATGCAGCACGAGAGATAAGACGATGTCATCTTGTTTATGATAAGAGAGCGGCGGATAAAAATAGATATCTTTTCGAATTCGATATCATCTTTAAAGGTGAAACTAATTAACGGCACTTGAAACTTACAATGACAATGAAATACTGTACGGTAGTAGTAAAATCAATGCGCAATGACCGATCGTGTATTCCCAAAATCGGTCTTTGTTGAATCAAAAAAAGAATGGTAAATAATCTATTTTTAAACTAGTCATAAACTATACGTGCTTTAAAAATTGCGCCAATGTTAAAAAAATCTTAATAAATAAGTAGTGGTTTTTAATTAATTGTTACTTTTGATCTGTTTTTTAAATGAATCATCGACTTTCAGAATTTTCATCATGCAGACGCTTCCGAAAGCTTTAGCTTATTTTGAATCCAAATTTATAACTACTTTCACCCTTTGTCTTACGGTTAAAACATTATCAATAATAATAATAATAAATAAATAAAATAAAGATTTTTAAGTATTTTTTTTTTTTTTTCGAATTAAAAGTTTTATCATCTATTTGTGCAATATGCGCATGATTAATATTAATTAGGTTTAATGAACATTTTTATTTAAATAAAGATCATATTCAGGAAAGGTCGGGATAATACTTTTCGGTATTACTGTATTTAAGAATTTACAAATTATAAAAAAACCATTCTAAATTCCATCTACTCGGGATAAAAAAATATTCAACTCTCTAATATAAGGAATTTCTTTAAATAAATGAAGAATATGAAAAAATTATTTAGAATAAAAAAAAAAAAAAGAGAGCAAATAATATTTTCAAAATATTGCAAAATATTTTTTAGGATTTGCAATTCAAAAATCTATTGTTAGATGACTTATTATTATTCCAACTAAAGAAAAAACTACAATATCAATTTTTTTAAAAGCCGAAATACTTAATATTTCAAAAATTGATTCAAAATATTTAACATCATTTAATATAAAAAGTTTTTTAATCAAAGTTCTATTTTTAATAATAATAAAAAATAGATTTAAAAGAACAAACTATATAATAATAAAATTTTATCATATAATAAAAGAAAAATTAATTGACATTATATCTATTGATACACATAATATTTAAGGTATCAATATATTCACACTCTTTCCGCTGATCCTCTATTCACATACAAAAAAGATGTTCACAAGAAGTTCTTATACTTCTATACTAATAAAGTCTTATCACTTTCCTTAAACCAACTTAAAGAAGCTTCAAGAGCCATCAACTACTTCCCTTCCTCTTGCTTACTATCCTCTTCAAACAAAAACCTGCCCTCTAGTAACCAGAAAAGGTCAAAAAACACCTTTCCTATCTATGGCAAGAAAGTTCTGAAAAGAAGAAGAACTAATAGTACCATTACTTTACGCTGTAGAAAAACACTACAGAAGTATATACGTGATGGAAGACAGCTTTCCCACCCTTTTATTATTTTGTAATCTTCTCATAGTGCTCATTCTTTATTTTTTCTGGGGAATTTTGCCTATCTCAGTTTGACCCTGAATTTTGAGTAGCACAAAGTTTTTTACACTGTAATTGGATAGATGGACTCATATTAGTAAAAGAAGTAAACAAGCTTCTATTGATCACTTCATATATCTGAATGCATTTCCTCAGCTTTATAA